ACATATTTTGATTAAAATTCCAAATGTGTGAAACTTTAAATGATGAATCAGGCAATGCCATTACAGATATCTCAAAAGGCATTTTGACTCTCCAAAATGTGATTGATTGATCTCTTGAATTGTTATTTTAAGTAGTCAAAATATAATTTCAGATATCTTAATGTATCATTTACAATACTTTAAGTTTAAAATGTAGTTTTTCAAAGTTAAATGGATGGTCAGAAAAGCTAATTTTATGATAAACGGCTGCCATAAGCCTGCAAGCCTGCGCTCAGGGCAGCAAATCAGGATTTTACACAATCCTCTCTACACATTTGCAGATCTCACACGACAGAAGAGTAGCAAAAATCATGTGTATAAAGAGAGCCAATCGAGAAACTGCTTGACTTCTAATGATTTGTTTGTATTTCTGGGTATTGAAGCAAAAATACATCAGACTTAAGTGACTCTGTGTGTTTACAGACTGATCTAAACATTTGTAGATCTTAGTACACATTTGCAAATTTTAACACACATTTGTAGATCTGAATACAGATTTGTGGATATTTTACACATTTGTAAATAAATTCCACAAAAGTTATTTTACACATTTGCAGATAGTCGTACAGACGGACAAATCTCACACATTTTCAAACCCCACTGAACATACACAAATCTAGATACAGACACACAACTCTCCACACACATTTGTAAATAATTTTGCAACAATATTGCTCCCATATGTATTTTGCTTCTATTAGAAATGTAAGACAGCTGCCCCTTTACAGTGGCTCTTTCTAACTTTGAACAAATGTTATACAGGAATGAAAAAAAGGAATCTAAATTAAATCAGCGCAGCATTGTTTTAATGTAATTATGTATAAATATAGATATTTTTGCATTTATGGATCATATAGTATATAAAAAACTGAGTCACTGAAATTATTCAGGCCTTTTATATCATTAGGCTGCAAACTGTAGGCTTTACTTTTTTCGGTTGGTTGCCTATTTTCATATACATTTTTAAAAAATTCCTATTCAGAAAGGAATTGTCAAACAGTCCAGTAGTTATAATATAGTTATAATATAATATAGAATTGTGCAATATGTTTGCTGTTATTAATATCAAACAGCAATTATTCATTTGCTAAAATAACTTTGTTTAAATGTATTTATTTTTAATCTTGAAATATACGTAGATGCATTTATAGAAAGTGATAGAATAGAGAGTGTCCACTTTTCCTTTACAAAGAAAACCTGTGTAGACTGCAGTGCGTTTTCTCTTCTCCCACGCCACACAAGCGTGCACATCCCTGGTTTCATTTCTAGTTGTCTGTAAACTTGTGCAAAAATCTCAAACTCCTTGGATTTGGTGTCAAAACTCATTCAGTTTTGAAAAAGGTTATGCAGTAGATGCTATTTTTTTTAGGATTTAAAAGATTTATCAGCAGTGACGATATCAACAAAAATCTTTGCTAAGAAAGTTAGATTGTTGGTTTTCGGGGTTCAGTAGCCATTTTGCACCAGTTGCACTCTAAGAATTCAAACTGTATGGAAGAAAAACAGTCTCATTGAAATCTGCCTTTTTTTGTCCAAAGAATTTTAAACACTGATTTTTTTTTACACATTGAATTCCTTACACTGAATTGTATCTGGTGAAAATTCAGCTGCAAAAAATTCAGCTGCAAAAAAATTTGCCTGCAAATGTGCTGTCCTTTTGGTGAACTCAAGCCAAAGCAATCTACACTTGATGCAGTTGAGCAGCACTAGCCAATTAAATTAGCTTATTTTGTCCAAAACAAATAAAAAGGAAATTTGCCACTGGCCGCTTCTTCTGGATCAAACCAAGAGCCTTGGCAGACAGGGGTGCTGCACTACCTGTGATCGGCTCAGTTATTTCACCCAGTCTGATTAGATTAAAACTCTAATGGCTTTCTATTAGTAGCTACCTGATGTTTTGTAATCATATCTATTTAACAAGAAAAACTCAGAACAAAGCTATGTCCAACTGTTGTGTCACTGCTCGACTACATCAAGTGTCGATTGCTTTGGCTTGAGTTCATCAAAAGGTCAACACATTTGCAGCTGAATTTTTTGCAGGCGAATTTTTCGCAGGGAAATTTTTTACCAGATATAAATTCAATGTAAGAAATTCAATGTAAAAAAATAAATAAATTGTGTAGTAAAAAAAAAAGGCTGATTCCAAAGAGGCTGTTTTTCTTCCATAGAACTGCAGCTTCTGCAGGTACGTTACATTATGATAGCAAACCTAAATTCATTTTTGCTATCTAAAAAAAATATATATATATAGATAAAATTGCATAAATGCCAACAGCTGCGATAAGGTTTCTTGCAGGAAATCAGCACTTAAATCCAGAGGACAGCATCGAGATTTATTTCAAAACGTGCCTAAAGCCACAGCGGATAGTTAATTGTTAAAAAGCTCTAAAATAATTCAACACCAAAGCAATGCATCCACAGCTGGTTATAAAGCTTAGTCCTGTGAGAAGGTTTGGACTCCTTATGATTTATAGCATTAGAGAGCAAGTAGTGAATATAGGATGGACTTTTATAGACTTTTATTTTGAAGTTTTATAAAATAAATTACACTTTTTCTTTCTTTACTGTTTTTGTTTAATTAGAGGTGATGTTTAACCCATTAAAACATTTTTAATAAATTCATTGACTAGATTTACATGTAGACATTTTCCAGTTATATAACTTTAAATATGTAGCCTAATAATTAAAGCCTCCCTGTCAGCAGTTGGCAGTTTTTTTTTTCCTGTTTTAAGGGTAACTTTGGTAAGTAATGCAATTGGACAAGGGATAGCCTTGAAACTTGTTTAAAGTTATTCACTTGAACTTACTTAAAGTTATTTTCCTTAAGAAGTATTCTAATAAATCTAAATAATGATTTGCACAGGAATATAACAACATTATTTATGCCAATGCTGGAATTTTCAGAGGAGTTATGAACATATACAATATATTGTGTCAGTACATGAAACTGAGAGTAAATACTCATGACAGTAGTGCATTTTAAGCTCTACATAATGGCTGAAGGATGGATCAGCACAACATTATCTGCTCAACACAGGATTAAACAGTACAACGCACCTGTAGTATTGGAAAATTGTGAGAAACATACCTCTTACATAATCATCATAGTCACGTAATACCATGTCTATCAAACTTTTTTTTTTTTATGTCAGAGATCCCTTCTAGACAACACGTAGATGTAAGTTAAAAATATATTGAGATTTTGGGGGTTTATTTGCTGCTGGATTTGTATTATGTCTATATTATAAGTAGGCGGTTTTGAAAAGGTCATTGATGATGGGTTTCAGGCTTAAATCAAGATTTATCCACCTCACAGTTTGAAGAAATGACCAACATATCCTGAAGTTCTGGTAACAGTCCACACAACGCAATGACACTGATAGGTATTTTTAAATCAAATAGGCCAAACTTACTCGCTAATTGTATTGCCTGCTTTGACAATCGGGACAACACTTAATGAAGGTTGTAGCATTCAGAAAAAAAAGATTTCTCTAGATAATCCAGTTTTAGGTCTTCTCCTTTACCTTCTTCTCATTAGATAAACCCACAGCTTTCTTTCAGGATTTAGTTTTTCTTACAACGTTGAACAGAGGAGAAGGTTGATATGTATCCCTTGAAACATTCATATAATGTTGCTTAAATGCCTATCCCTAGAGATGTTATGAGATGAGCCGTGGCTTCGAGGCGTGTGTCGAGTAGTGGATGGGGCGTTACCCCGAGGCTTGCTTCATTTGGGGGAGGAGCCAAAATCGATGGCGTCCGAAGCCTTGCTACCCCTCCATACCATGTGAACGCTTCGGGAAGGGGTTCAGTGGAACTTCAGCAGGCATTTAAACAGCCTCAGTATTCAGTCAAGATGTGAGAGTTTGTAGGAGAGTTGAATAGAGTTTGGATATATTCTAAGAATAGATTGTTTGGGAAAACATCCAATCTAGTTGGATAAAACTAGTTTGGTTAGATTAAACAATGTAATGATCAAAATCTGAGCAAGCCACCAGTTAGTGATGTAATCGGTTTTAGGTAGTATTAAGTAGTATCTGAAGAGCTATCACCTTGCTAGTCGTGTCAGCTGAAAGAGATGGACTTCCACTCTTAGGGTTCCTGGTTCAAGACTCATCTCAGACTTTTGAAAGTCACAATGAAATGCAACAAATATTTTGGCTAATGTGACTAATTTGTATTGGTTTGCCCTAATATAAATATAGATTGGGTAAAAACACTGCCAAATTAGATTGGTTGGTTTAACCAAAAGATTGGTTGAACACAACTTCAAACCCGACTAAAACCAAAAACTGTGGAAAAACTTATGTTTGAATAAAATGACTAACACCTTTCCCTTTGCTCATCATTGCCCAATTTGCAGAAGCACTTTCACTGTATGCTTCAGCTTATTTCACTAAAATGGCAGAAACAGTGCACCTTAAATGATTGTTCTCTTTATAAGACATTTTACACAAACGAACTTACAGATTTTGTTATACAGACAATTTCAAAGGAACTTAAATGAAAAAAAAACACAAACAAGAAAAACTATTGCAAACAAAATCACAAGATTATATTACTAACTGTAGTTCATCACTCCACCAGTAGGTGGTGACATTTTTACATGAAGCTTCATGAACTGTGGGGATCATTGAAGCAATTTAGCCATACGGTTCAAACGCCTCATGAGGCTTCATATCACCACCAATACCTATCCCACAAAAAATTTGATGTCCACCCATTCCTGGTGTTTAATTTAACACTTGCTTGTTTTTCTAAGTGTTTTTGATGCCTCAACAATAACAAGTTTAGAACTTTTGGGAGAGAAGCAGATTGGTTTTTTGGACCTAAGGTAAACCTAAGGTGTTTTCCAAAGTTTCTTTTAAACACTTGTTGAATGTCTCAGAGGTTGATAAACTAAGTTTTTTCTTTTGTTCTCTTTGACTCTGAACTCTCTATGCATATGGTTGGTTTCTTAGATGCCTATCCGGTCTCAGAGGTGGTCTACACCTGGACTCAGGGAGCAGCCAAGTCTGTGGTGGTGGCAGAGGAAGGCTCAAGACTCAACCAGTACCATCTGATTGGCCAGACAGCAGGAACAGAGGACATCTACACCAGTCGGGGTAAAGTTGACAGTCAACTTACTTCATCTAGTATAGGAGCCAGAGTATGTGAGCAGAACTCTGACGTGCTCACGATCAATCAATCAAAGTCAGTGGAATAGACTTTATTTCAATTCATGTTTGACTTAAATCCTAGGCCAATGCTTATTCTGCAGTCTGTGCCTATAATCTGTTATAGTCTATGTTTCAACTTTACCACAGAATCGCAGAGACGAGGATTGCATATTGTGTAATAAAAAATGGGATACAATATCATAAAAACATACACCAACTATACTTAACAATACAGAGTGGGTTTACATAAAGTGATTGTCGTGTTAAGAGCCTGTTTTTGAAAATGGGTCGCATACATGCATTATACACTATTATCTCAGTTGCAATGGGATGCGAAGTGACTTATTTTATTGTAGTTCAGTACCATAGATTAATACAGTAATTAAATAGGAAATGCGGGGCAACATGAATGGAACGAGGTGTTACGTTCACAGCTGAGAAATTTAACAGCCAGTTAAATAAGACTAGACATATGTATCGGTCACATCATTAAACACCGTGTGTCCCAGGGACCTGCCATAATTACATGTAGGAAAAATATCACAAAAATGCTTTCTACTAAAAATCTGAACGAGCATGGAGCGATTTCGCCGGAGCAGCAGGAAAATTACGGTGAGCGCAGGGCGGAGTTTGAGCGGAGTGTCCTGGTGCAACTTTGAGCGTCAGAGCGAATGAGTAAAGATCCTCCTGAGCGAAGAGGGGGAATTGTGCGGCGCTTCGTTCACATGCTCCGATAGGGGCCACAGCACATAGAAAGAAATTTGACATACATTCCTAAATTATACCAGCCAAGTAGGCTGGCAGTCTAATGTAAGAATATTTCCATGTTTTACCAGTGCCTGAAGATAAAAATACTGTTTACTTACAGTTACACCAATATTAAACTTTCAAATCCCTGATATCCTATTTATGTCAAATTGGTACCATATTTTATAAGTCAATTCCTAGATTTTGCTTATTTCAAATCAACACCTAGCAATATTTGGTAGAAGCAGTGCAATGGTGAAGGATGGCATTCTGCTCTCTGGAAAAGGCATGACAAGACTTGCCTTGATTGGATGCAAAGCCGAGAGATATCAAGGATATCAGAGACTCTCTTCAGAACTTGGGATTGGAGAAAATAAAAAGGCAAGAAATAGACATGCTTTGTTTCTTTAACGTTTAATCATTAAAATAACAATAAACATTAAATAAGTAAGAGGTTCTGAATTAGCAAAGAGAAAGTTGCAATCTATTTTATACTCATCTCTGTTGCTCAAATAAATGCATTTTACATAAAAATATGGTTTGAATGGAGCAAGAAGCATTCTTATAACAGAGAAATACTCCGCCAAAGCAAGCTTTCCTTACCCTCTAAGCTAACTTGATATTTGCAGGTGTCATTGTAAAAGGTGGGTAGTAACTACTTATATTCATGTAAGAGCATTGCTACTGGTTACTACTAAACAGTAGACATTGTTAAAGTAGTAATTAATAGATGTTGACTGAGGACCTTTATCCTTCCCTGACATACTAAATGATAGCACACAAAATTGTTGGTTCTTGATGTTTAATGAAAGAAAAAGTATCTGTTCTTTGTCTCGTCATCCATTTTTCTCATGCAGCCACATCCAAGAGGGTTTGCTACAGTCCCATGGATCTTACATTTCTGATTGATATCTGCAACTTTAGTCACAGGGACATCAAGCTGCTTGGAGATGGTCTTATAGCCTTTACCTTTGACATGTTGGTCTATAATTTTCTTTATATCTCCTGAGACAGCTCTTTCCTTTGCTTTCTCTGGTCCATGTTGAGTGTGGTACACACCATGGTACCAAATAGCACAGGGACTCCCTGTAGCCCTACATATAGGCCCATTGACTGATTGTTAGACTGTAGACACCTGTAATGCTAAATAGCAAACACCTTGTTTTAACATGTCCCTTTGGTCACATTATTGTTTGTCTTTTCTAGGGGTACCATTGTTTTTGTTAATTTTTGTTGCATAAGTAATGCCAGACTTTGAGTTGTACATTTTAATTGATTTTTTTATTACTACTTTTGTCAGATTTAAGTTATTGCTGTGACCATTGTGGGTTTTTCATCCATTAAAGAATGGGTAACAACTATTTTGTCCATCTGTGTAAGCATTACCTACTGGTAGGACTGTTTTTTTTTTATTTGGACTGCAAATCATTTGATTATCAAGTCATATTTATAAGTGTAATATACTTTATCCTATTTTTAGAGTTAATTATTTTTACTATTTTTATTTCCCCCCCTCTTTTAATAACATCTTAATTTAAGACATCATCTTATCACATGGACATAATTTCACTTGCTATTAATACTTTTCCATCAGATTTTGTGTTTTTTTTTATATTTTTACTGAACAAAAGGTTAATTTTTAAAAGTGTTTCATTTACAGAAACGTATTTCTTAAATGGTTGCAAAAGGCATGTATTTAAATACTCGGAAAATACCAGAATTTGCCCCGAACAATCTTTCTGATCACCTTGTTGTAAAGAGCATTAATCAGAAGTATTTATTACTCTTAGTTTAGTCATTTCTTAGGGAACTACCTTCAACATTTACTAAAGTAAAAAATGTTTTTTTTTTAAATGCTACCCTTACTTAAGTAATGTTATTGGCTGCTCTCCTCAACTCTGGTCACTGCATGAACAAATGTTATGTCAAAGACAATAAAAACAGGTAGCAGAAGGAAAAAAGGAAACCTGGCTTCAAAAAATAGTCAGACTTCCCTAAAACACCATCAAAGGAGACTTTTCAAACAAGAGCTAAGATATTACCCAATTTTAGCCATTACAATCCTCAAATAAAGATGCAACAGTCCTTTACACAAATGTTTTCTTTTATTTATTGATTTTGTTTGTCCAGCTCATTTCAAAAAGCTCATTTGAAATGATTCCCAGTTCACAGATAACGACATTCCAATTGGTAAATAAATGTTTTCATAACCCTTGGATCCAAAAGCAGCACTTTCTGTTTTTTCATAACCTCCAGACCAATCTACTGAGGAGATGTCAGTTTGCTGTGTGCCATATTTACGGCACCTGTGTGTTAAACTATTATTCATCAATTCAATTTAGCTAAATCTGTCATAATGTAATTTCTTTCCACTTGAATGGGTGAGCAATCAGCTGATTCATTTTCTACATAAAAAGCATTGCCTTTAATGGCAGATTTTTTAGAGAGGCACAGCAAATGTGTCTGTGACTCCTGGAGATGATTTTCAAAGGTTTTCTTCAGCAGGCGGCAGTTGGCCAGTCTTTGGGTGACAAACACTGCAAACATGTTCAGTGGAAAATAACTTTAATGTTCACTGACTCGCAAAAATACATTGCTGCAACACTTTGTTTTAAACAAAAGCTAGAGTATTTTATGTCAGGCATCCCCAACCTCGGTCCTCGAGGCCCCCTGTCCTGCAGGTTTTAGAGGTTTCTCTGCTTCAGCACAGCTGATTATAATGATTGCAGTAGACCAAAAGCCTGATAATCAGCTTTCAATTAAAATCAGCAATGCTGGAGCAAGGAAACCTCTAAAACATGCAGGACAGCGGGCCTCGAGGACCGAGGTTGGGGAGGCCATGTTTTATGTGATAGATGGACATAAAGTAGTGCATAATCATGAAGATCATCAGGTTTGATTATTCTTTTCTAGCTCATAAATATACTTTAATCAAACCAATTTCTTTGTTGCTCAGTCTGCATGTTAAAGGTGGTTCTCTCACTTTTCTTGCAGGCTCGAGCAGTGTTGACCTCCTTATATCTTCTCTATATAACTTCCTTATTCCCCCTTTAAAAAAGAAATCCACACAGCACCATGCTTGCACCACCATGTTTCCCTGTGTTTTTTTTTAGCATGATGTGTTCCACCAAAAGATTTTACAACAAGGCCAGAAAGTCTTATTTGATTTATACCTGATTAGATAATATTTAACTCTTCTTCCCCATGGCAGAGTAGAGCTCTTCTTGCCTCACTTCAATTTGATGTAGACAGCCATGTCTTAGTAGATTTTAGCTGTTCTTACTGTATCTGGTCATAGACGAAGTTGTTCAAAGTTTTCTCCCTGACCTGTCTGCTGTATTTCTACGTCTTTCTGATACTGCTTACTGACTAATGTTGTCTAACAAACCTTTAAGGTCTTCACAGAACATTAAAATAGAATCTTAAACCACATTTAATAGAATAAAATACCACAGAACTTTTTGAAATGTAAGTAGGTACATTTTTCTTTTAAATAAGTGCATTTTCTCTTGATTTATAGAGCAAAATAAGAGAATTTGCCAGTAGAATAAGATAATCAATATTTAGAATTAGGAAATATATAACTTGATAGTGTTATTTTAAGTGCATTATATATAATGTTCTTAATTTAATGGATAAAGACTCATTCCATTGGCAAATCAGCTTATTTACATTCTATAATTAAGGGCAAATACATGTATTTTAAGAATGTTTGACTTGCTTGTAGATCACTTTTTTGCAGTACAAGGGTAATTCCTGAAAGATATTGGTTACATTGGATCCGTTTATCAGACCAAAAATAGTTGAATACAGATGGACGACACCCATTTTTCTTTTTTACATTTCTGAAATATTTTTAAAACGCAACATATGTTATTACAAACTATATATTTTACTTTCAACTCATTATTATGAGCTTATTTGGTTAGTCTACTACATGAAATCCCAAATACTGTTTTAATTGGCAACGTAGGAAAATGTGAAAAACTTCAATTCTAATAAACATTTAAAAGTTTTACGGTATTACTGATTTAAAGAGTGTTTTATATCCATGCATGCAACAAACTAAAGAGGATGCGCCATGTTTGGAGAATGGAAAGCCCTATATGTCCCCAAGAGGCTACTGTACTGCTATTTCTTGGCAGGATGGCCTGATGTTATTGATGGGAATACATCTGGGTTTTTACCAGCATATTTTAAAGCGAAATGTTGAGATAAGACATTGGAATAAATCTTTTGAGAAAATAGGTCAAGCAGTAAGACAGTGAGCCTAAGCACACAATTTAATCTGCCAAAGAATGATTAAAGAATACAGTTTATATTCTTACATGGGCAAATCAAGACTTTGACCTTAATCTAATAGAAATTTCCCTTAAGGAGCTAAAGGATAGCATTTTATAGGAGAAAACCCATAAACATCACACAGTTTGGTAATAAATCACAAGCTCAAATCCTTCTAAGATGATTGTTTCTGGTAACGGATTTACTGAGGTGCTACAACTTCAATGAATTCACATCTTTTACATTTAGATACAGATTATACATACTATTAAGGTGCAGTTCAAGGTACATAGTCAAGTTTTATGCCAATATGAAAAATACCAAACCACAGTTGAAAAGAAGGCTATATACTCCAAGCTTCCATCCTTATAGTCTTTTGACTTTCAGAAAGGGTGGATCCTCCTTGATCTACCCTTTTTGAGCCTAAATAGAAAGCCAGTGCACTGACCCCAATGAGTTGACAGATCTATATGTGGCGCCATCTACCTGCAGAACTGCTGAACTACCAGAAGGCTAGATGGTGGCCATTGATGGAGTTACTAAATAACCTGAACTTGCTGACTGTCCTGTAAAACCTTGAGGAAAACAGCTCTGTGGATTGGGTTTAAAAGCATTGCTAACCCCACTAGCACTATTAGCACAGACACATGCTCAATTCAATTCAATTTCAGTTCAATTCAGTTTATTTATATACCGCCAATTCACAACAAATGTCATCTCAGAGAATTTTATTGACACAATTCAACCAGATGATACAGTCAGATTAGTTCAAAGTTTTCTATCTAAGGAAAACCAGCTGATTGCATCAAATCATTGACTCTTCGGTAATCCCTCACATAGATAATGCTTGCAGCGACAGTGGAAAGGAAAACTCCAGGAAGAAACCTCCAGAGGAAACCTAGCTAGGTGTGATCAGCCACCTGCTGATGTCAACTGGAGTTCAAAGAGATAAAAGCAGATTTCCCAGTGCAATTCCATTTTTATCTCTAATGGTGTTAAATACCAACTTGTACAACTACATTGTTAGTTCCACACTCACTTGCCTCCATTGCTTCGGCTTGTAATCCCAATCTCATGATGTTGTTATGATAAATATACACAGAAACATTCTAATTACCTATTAATTGAGCAAAAGCAAAGTTCAAAAGACATAAATAACAAGTACACCGTAAATTGTAAGAAAAATGCTGTATGCAAACAGAGTGAGCTAATGTACTATAAGTTAAACAATGTCAAATAATGTGACTATGTACCTTTAAGTTCCTGGCATCATTCTGGCAGGTTATTCAAGCAGTCTTCTTGGCAGAGAGGCAGAGTGAATTTAAACTGGTTTATTTCCTGGTCCTGTCTCCTTTTCAGCATAGACCAGTAAGGATGAGGTCAATAGAAAAGTTTCTGTTGAATGTGTCTAGGTTCGTGACACCTAGTAGCTGATTTGGGGGAAACTGAAGGGTTTTTTGGTAGTCCATCAGCAGCCCCACAATATAATACTTGCACTATGCTCTCAATCAGGCCTAAACTGCGAGATACTGGAAAACCAATTCCTGTCTACAGTAAAACCAGTTTTAAATCAATCTGAGAGGGTGTAGATTAAGGAAGACAAACCTGGTCAAACATGCCTGAGATTTACTGCTACTTTAAAGCGTTATGGTCAGACGATGAAACAGTTCAGCTTTTTGGCTATTATAACACTGAGAATGCTTGAAGAAGTCTAGATAGACTTTTGAACCTCACGCTAGGATTGTTTTACTGCCAGTGATTCTTGTCCATTGAATAAAGTGAATGATATTAAGAGGAAGGGCCATCCCCACCTTCCGAAATTTAGCTTAGAATTAATCACTGGGTGGTGGAAACCTGGAGACTGGAGAACTTTGATTCAAATAAAGTCTACAATTTCTGTCAGGAAGAGTGATCATTGTCAATGCAAGGCAAGTTAATTCATAAAGAATTTCAATGGCAAGACAATTCAAAGTAATCTGACTCCGCCAGATGGGTTTGCTCCGCATATCCATCTGGAAACCTTCCGTCGAAGTAATTTTGGGAAGGGGCGAAAATACTGGTTAGCTGATTGGCCTATGTTGGTGATAGACGGGCCGAATAAACCAATCAGATCAACGAAGCATATGACGTAACAGAGCGACGACGAAGAGGAGCCAATTGATAGATCAAACTCTTGCCGAAACCAGTCAGTAGAAGAGCAAAAACATCTTTTCCTCTGAGGAAAGCCTCCAGAGCAGTGTTTTGCTCTTCTTTCAGTGAAGAAATACTCTGTAATTCCGATAAAACTTGCTCAATAGCTACGCTAACACTAGTTTCATCGGCTGAAGCCGCCATGTTCCTTAGACTAAACTGTCGAGCTTCTCGTTGCTTCACACCTCAAACCACCTCAAAGCCAACGCTGATTGGACGTTCGTTTGGTGAACGGCTCCAAATTTTCTTTAACGGAAAGTAGCCAGACTGATCTGCGAGTGAAACTTTGAAAGCTCGCGAGATCAGGATCACCAGGCTAAATTCAAAGTGCTTTACAAGAGAAATATAAAGACAAAAGCTGCATTGCAGTAGCATAGAGGCGATTAAAAAAATAAGAGAATAAAAGCGAAATAATTACAACAGGATAATTATTTTAAGAATATAAGAAATAATTTATTTTAAAAAAGGCTTTGAAAAATACAACAATAGTTCAGTTATAGACATACTGTATCCCAGAAGCTTGTTGATGGTTGGAAAATGCATGTATTTAAAAAGATGAAAACTCAAATGTAAGTAGAGGATGTATTGATATATTTGAGGTCGAGGAGATGGGAGATAATCTTTTATGCATTTCAGATTTTGCCAACCTTTAGTTTTTTTTTTTATTGCTACAGTTGTTTTTTTATCATAAAAAAACAAAAAAGCTGCTCCTGTAAAATAATATTGAATAGCCCCCGATTAATAGTACTGGGGGGGAAAAAACGTTGAATTAAAAACAAGTTGATATCTTTTAAAACATTTTTGTATTTTATGTATTATTATTATTATTGCTATTATTTTAAGGATTTAGTTCCTGTAGTTGTTGGACATGCTCCTGTCTAACAGTGTTTTCAGTCCCTTTGAGGAAAAGATTTCGAGGACCTTCGGTCTGCTCTGTCCTGTGTTGCATCAGCAGCCATACAGCAGTTTAAGGTCATTATTTAGCTCTTTGTTATTATGTCCTACTCCATTAAAAATTTTGAGTTTCTGGTTTGGAAAAATATTAAGGAAAAACAAATCATGTTGGATATGGACAATAAATGATTGTCCAGGATTTGAGAGCGCCTCCCACTCACAGCCAGCTGTCTCTGGATTTGTCGGAAAGAGAGGTGGCAGACGCAGAGGGGGCTGAGGGGAGGGGATGGGTGGGGGGGGCAGAAATCACTTATCTGTGGTCTTAGCCATTGGGTATGTAGGGTTAATCCGTATGCAGGCCCATCAGTTGTGCTTTTACCAAGTGACGTCACAGCGCAGGGATTGGCTGCTGAGGAAGCAACAAGTCAGGCAGGGAAGGGGACGGCGGGGGGAGTTTGGATGGGACAGGGGGGTTAGACTGTATGGGGCAGCATCTGCTTAATTCTCTTACGTAAAGAATAATACTTTTCAGTTTTTGGTTGTAATAAAGGCGGGGGACTTCCTGTAGATGTAAACAGATATAGTTAGAAAGCTATATTCGGAATCCTGTAGAGGGGGGGGATGTTTACACCAAAGGATGTATAAAAAAAAAAAAAAAAGGATTTGTTTATGACCACACACAGCAAATCCGACACAAATCTGAGCATGCTCAGTTGAGAGGGAGACCCAGAAACAGAGGAAGTTCTGATGAGTGAGCGCTTGGCTCGCAGTTCTGCGTGTGAACATTTGCACAGACAGCAAAGGCCATCTAAAAATGGAAGGTAAGTCAGCCAGAGCCAGCATGATCTTAATTAGTGGAGCTAATCTGAGGTTCAAAACCGCTTTAAGGGGCCAAGAATAGCTTAGCAATGTGCTCAGTGGAAGTGACCCCTGATCTCACAGCTTTAGCCACACAGTAAATATGGATCCATGAACAGAGGTTGTTATAGGAGCACTTTGCATTTTCAATTGTTAATGCATTATAGTGATTCCAGATTTTTTTTTACACAGCTCAGCAGATGGTGTGGATATTCACTCACCAGTTGACCAGCATGGCTGCGTTGTTCTCCGCTATAAAGGGTAGTTCCCCACTGACGCTCCAAAAGCCAAACAGTAAAATCCACCAAAACCGCATTTTTGTTTTTAAACCTGGGAGATTTCATCCACTGTCAGTCCCAGAAGGTGGTCAGATCAGAGGAGAGACTCCCCCGCTGTGCCCCCACAGAGCAGGGCTGTAGGCCAACTGTCCACAGAGCAAAGGCAACACAGGTTCGCCTTTCACTGAAGACATGATGCCGCTTGTTGCATCGCCGGCACAATCCAAACTTTGCTCCTGCCCACTTCTTTCAGATCCCCTCTGCTTCAGGCATTTGTGCACCTGCTTGCAATCAGTGCCGAAGCCAGGTCCAATTCAGCATTCTCACTCAGGCGAGGCAAGGATAAACGTCCCCAATCAAGAGTGGCCTGGCCTGACAGAATGGGATGGACTGTTACACACACACACCCCTCCCCACACGCACACACTGTTTGCACATAGAAAGAGAGACAGAGAGGCAGTGAGCGAGATATACAGGATGCAGATTGTGACAAGGGATTAGTCAGACAGAAAAATCCGATTTTGACAGGAGAAAGCAGCAGTCATCTGTGGATTTTCTATAGTTTATCAGACTTCGCAGCCCAAAAGGATTTTAAAAACTAGAAAATCTTTCAAATGCAATCTTCGGTTGATTAACAGGATACAAAGATTTTCCCAACAACCTGCTTGATTTTTTCTCAAAGTTAATACCGGTTATTCAGTGGGGAACTCCGGTCGGTGTCAGAAAAAAAAAAAACCCATGCAGCAGGGTTGTCAAGATACAAATATTTCAAACTCAATATCGATCATAAATATTCAATACTTGATACAGTAGCATGGGAATAAAAATGCAAAATAATTACAGTTATAGAAATATATTTATTAACATGAAAAACTCACGTTTTTAGTTTCAACATGGAAAATGCTTTCTCAAGAGAATCAAAGATTATTTTAATTAAATAAGTTTACAAATACATGCAAAATCAATAACCCACATAAATCAAAGTTTCAAACTGTATTTTTAGGTTGTTTGAGGCATTATTGTTTTAGTATGAAAATAATCTATAAATCTAAAATTAACAATGATAAAGAAAGGAAACAACATAATACTTTTCCGACTATCAATTTGTTTGATAACCTATCAGTGCAATGCACATTTTACATTAAACTTCTCACGTCTTCACAACACTAAGGTGAAGTTAGAAATATGTTTTAAAAAACATGAAGAGACTTATAAACGTGTATTTAATAATTATGTGTTTATCAATTCAATTCAGTTTATTTATATAGCGCCATGTCATCTCAAGGTACTTTACAATTCACCAGATCGACTCATTGACTGGAAGGCAATCCCTCACACCAAGCATGCTTGTAGTGACAGTGGAGAGGAAAAATTCCCTTTTAACAGGAAGAAACCTCCAGCAGAACCAGGCTCAGTGTGAGCGGCCATCTGCCGAGGCCGACTGGGGTTCAAGGAGACAGAAGTAGAGATACAGAAGAAGCAGAGATGCAAAAGGTAAATGTCAACTTGCTCCACAGGCGGCCCCGTCCAGGAAACACACAGCCAGGCAGACTAGCTCCAGGCCAGATCTCTTGCCAGAGGATAAAAAGAGCACATCCAGCCAGTCACAGTCAGAGAAACAGGACTACACTGAAAAACAGGCAGATCTCGACCATCTATAAACAATGTTGTTGATGGCAGCAGCACAGATGATATTTCTCTCCAGGATCGAGTCACAGCCAAACAGGAACAAACCAGATTAAGCTACTATGAGCAAAAGCAGAGAGTGCTTAGCTTCTATTCTCTGGAAGGCAAAGCACAGTGCCTGGAGGACGGCTGGGAGGCCAGCGACAAAGAAGAGTCTGTGGAGGATGGTGTCTCAGCAGCAGGGATCCTCAGAGGAGGCAGTGCAGCTTCAGATCAACGAAAATGAGCTGTTGTAGACTCACCAAGAGGCACAACAGATGGTAAAAGAAGCTCATGGAGCAGCCTTGAAGGTTAGGAGTAACATTGAGGGTCCTTGAAGACGTGGAACGACCACGGAGGGGCTCAAAGAGCTTTATTTCAAGGAATAGTTCATCAGCTGGCTTAGGATTCCCTGGATGACACAGAGTGGGCTCAGGGGTCCCTGGAGGAAACACCCAGGGGATCTAACTCGGGAGAGGGATCTGACCCTGGAGAGGGATCTGACCCAGGAGAGGGATCTGACTCTGGAGAGGGATCTGACCCTGGAGAGGGATCTGACTCTGGAGAGGGATCTGACCCAGGAGAGGGATCTGACCCAGGAGAGGGATCTGACCCAGGAGAGGGATCTGACTCTGGAGAGGGATCTGACCCTGGAGAGGGATCTGACTCTGGAGAGGGATCTGACTCTGGAGAGGGATCTGATCCCAGGAGAGGGAACACTCTGGCGATCTGACATTGGAGAGGGATCTGACCCTGGAGAGGGATCTGACCCTGGAGAGGGATCTGACTCTGGAGAGGGATCTGACCCTGGAAAGGGATCTGACTCTGGAGAGGGATCTGACTCTGGAGAGGGATCTGACCCCAGGAGAGGGATCTGACTCTGGAGAGGGGTCTGATCCCAGGAGAGGGAACACTCTGGCGATCTGACTCTGGAGAGGGATCTGACCCTGGAGAGGGATCTGACTCTGGAGAGGGGTCTGATCCCAGGAGAGGGAACACTCTGGCGATCTGACTCTGGAGAGGGATCTGACCCTGGAGAGGGATCTGACTCTGGAGAGAGGGGTCTGATCCCAGGAGAGGGAACACTCTGGCGATCTGACTCTGGAGAGGGATCTGACCCTGGAGAGGGATGTGACTATGGAGAGGGATCTGACTCTGGAAAGGGATCTGACCCTGGAGAGGGATCTGACTCTGGAGAGGGATCTGACCCAGGAGAGGGATCTGACCCAGGATAGGGTTCTGACTCTGGAGAGGGATCTGACTCTGGAGAGGGATCTGACCCAGGAGAGGGATCCGACCCAGGAGAGGGATCTGACTCTGGAGAGGGATCTGACCCAGGAGAGGTATCTGACTCTGGAGAGGGGTCTGATCCCAGGAGAGGGAACACTCTGGCGATCTGACATTAAAGAGGGATCTGACCCAGGAGAGGGATCTGACTCTGGAGAGGGATCTGACCCTGGAGAGGGATCTGACTCTGGAGAGGGATCTGACCCAGGAGAGGGATCTGACCCAGGAGAGGGATCTGACCCAGGAGAGGGATCTGACTCTGGAGAGGGATCTGACCCTGGAGAGGGATCTGACTCTGGAGAGGGATCTGACTCTGGAGAGGGATCTGACTCTGGAGAGGGGTCTGATCCCAGGAGAGGGAACACTCTGGCGATCTGACATTGGAGAGGGATCTGACCCTGGAGAGGGATCTGACCCTGGCCTGGAGAGGGATCTGACTCTGGAGAGGGATCTGACCCTGGAAAGGGATCTGACTCTGGAGAGGGATCTGACCCCAGGAGAGGGAACACTCTGGCGATCTGACTCTGGAGAGGGATCCGACCCTGGAGAGGGATCTGACTCTGGAGAGGGATCTGACTCTGGAGAGGGATCTGACCCCAGGAGAGGGATCTGACTCTGGAGAGGGGTCTGATCCCAGGAGAGGGAACACTCTGGCGATCTGACTCTGGAGAGGGATCTGACCCTGGAGAGGGATCTGACTCTGGAGAGGGGTCTGATCCCAGGAGAGGGAACACTCTGGCGATCTGAATCTGGAGAGGGATCTGACCCTGGAGAGGGATCTGACTCTGGAGAGGGGTCTGATCCCAGGAGAGGGAACACTCTGGCGATCTGACTCTGGAGAGGGATCTGACCCTGGAGAGGGATGTGACTATGGAGAGGGATCTGACTCTGGAAAGGGATCTGGCCCTGGAGAGGGATCTGACTCTGGAGAGGGATCTGACCCAGGAGAGGGATCTGACCCAGGATAGGGTTCTGACTCTGGAGAGGGATCTGACTCTGGAGAGGGATCTGACCCCGGAGAGGGATCCGACCCAGGAGAGGGATCTGACTCTGGAGAGGGATCTGACCCAGGAGAGGGATCTGACTCTGGAGAGGGGTCTGATCCCAGGAGAGGGAACACTCTGGCGATCTGACATTAAAGAGGGATCTGACCCTGGAGAGGGATCTGACTCTGGAGAGGGATCTGACTCTGGAGAGGGATCTGACCCTGGAGAGGGATCTGACTCTGGAGAGGGATCTGACCCAGGAGAGGGATCTGACCCAGGAGAGGGTTCTGACTCTGGAGAGGGATCTGACTCTGGAGAGGGATCTGACCCAGGAGAGGGATCCGACCCAGGAGAGGGATCTGACTCTGGAGAGGGGTCTGATCCCAGGAGAGGGAACACTCTGGCGATCTGACTCTGGAGAGGGATCTGACTCTGGAGAGGGATCTGACCCTGGAGAGGGATGTGACTCTGGAGAGGGATCTGACTCTGGAGAGGGATCTGACCCTGGAGAGGGATCTGACTCTGGAGAGGGATCTGACCCAGGAGAGGGATCTGACCCAGGAGAGGGTTCTGACTCTGGAGAGGGATCTGACTCTGGAGAGGGATCTGACCCAGGAGAGGGATCCGACCCAGGAGAGGGATCTGACTCTGGAGAGGGATCTGACCCAGGAGAGGGATCTGACTCTGGAGAGGGGTCTGATCCCAGGAGAGGGAACACTCTGGCGATCTGACATTAAAGAGGGATCTGACCCTGGAGAGGTATCTGACTCTGGAGAGGGATCTGACTCTGGAGAGGGATCTGACCCTGGAGAGGGATCTGACTCTGGAGAGGGATCTGACTCTGGAGAGGGATCTGACCCAGGAGAGGGATCTGACCCAGGAGAGGGATCTGACTCTGGAGAGGGGTCTGATCCCAGAAGAGGGAACACTCTGGCGATCTGACATTAAAGAGGGATCTGACCCTGGAGAGGGATCTGACTCTGGAGAGGGGTCTGATCCCAGGAGAGGGAACACTCTGGCGATCTGACTCTGGAGAGGGATCTGACCCTGGAGAGGGATCTGACTCTGGAGAGGGGTCTGATCCCAGGAGAGGGAACACTCTGGCGATCTGACTCTGGAGAGGGATCTGACCCTGGAGAGGGATGTGACTCTGGAGAGGGATCTGACTCTGGAGAGGGATCTGACCCTGGAGAGGGATCTGACTCTGGAGAGGGATCTGACCCAGGAGAGGGATCTGACCCAGGAGAGGGTTCTGACTCTGGAGAGGGATCTGACTCTGGAGAGGGATCTGACCCAGGAGAGGGATCCGACCCAGGAGAGGGATCTGACTCTGGAGAGGGATCTGACCCAGGAGAGGGATCTGACCCAGGAGAGGGATCTGACTCTGGAGAGGGGTCTGATCCCAGGAGAGGGAACACTCTGGCGATCTGACATTAAAGAGGGATCTGACTCTGGAGAGGGATCTGACTCTGGAGAGGGATCTGACTCTGGAGAGGGATCTGACCCAGGAGAGGGATCTGACCCAGGAGAGGGATCTGACTCTGGAGAGGGGTCTGATCCCAGGAGAGGGAACACTCTGGCGATCTGACATTAAAGAGGGATCTGACCCTGGAGAGGGATCTGACTCTGGAGAGGGATCTGACTCTGGAGAGGGATCTGACCCTGGAGAGGGATCTGACTCTGGAGAGGGATCTGACTCTGGAGAGGGATCTGACCCAGGAGAGGGATCTGACCCAGGAGAGGGATCTGACTCTGGAGAGGGGTCTGATCCCAGGAGAGGGAACACTCTGACGATCTGACATTAAAGAGGGATCTGACCCTGGAGAGGGATCTGACTCTGGATAGGGGTCTGATCCCAGGAGAGGGTAGACTCTGGCGATCTGACTCTGGAGAGGGATCTGACCCTGGAGAGGGATCTGACTCTGGAGAGGGGTCTGATCCCAGGAGAGGGAACACTCTGGCGATCTGACTCTGGAGAGGGATCTGACCCTGGAGAGGGATGTGACTCTGGAGAGGGATCTGACTCTGGAGAGGGATCTGACCCTGGAGAGGGATATGACTCTGGAGAGGGATCTGACCCTGGAGAGGGATCTGACTCTGGAGAGGGATCTGACCCAGGAGAGGGATCCGACCCAGGAGAGGGATCTGACTCTGGAGAGGGATCTGACCCAGGAGAGGGATCTGACCCAGGAGAGGGATCTGACTCTGGAGAGGGGTCTGATCCCAGGAGAGGGAACACTCTGGCGATCTGACATTAAAGAGGGATCTGACCCTGGAGAGGGATCTGACTCTGGAGAGGGATCTGACTCTGGAGAGGGATCTGACCCTGGAGAGGGATCTTACCCTGGAGAGGGATCTGACTCTGGAGAGGGATCTGACTCTGGAGAGGGATCTGACCCAGGAGAGGGATCTGACTCTGGAGAGGGGTCTGATCCCAGGAGAGGCAACACTCTGGCGATCTGACATTGGAGAGGGATCTGACCCTGGAGAGGAAAAACTATGGGGATCTGACCCTGGAGAGGGGTCTGACTCTGGAGAGGGATCTGACCCAGGAGAGGGATCTGACTCTGGAGAGGGATCTGACCCAGGAGAGGGATCTGACTCTGGAGAGGGATCTGACCCAGGAGAGGGGTCTGACCCAGGAGAGGGATCTGACCCTGGAGAGGGATCTGACTCTGGAGAGGGAACACCCTGGAGAGGGATCTTACTCTGGAGAGGGTCTGACTCTGGAGAGGGAACACCCTGGAGAGGGATCTGACCCAGGAGAGGGATCTGACCCTGGAGAGGGATCTGACTCTGGAGAGGGATCTGACTCTGGAGAGGGAACACCCTGGAGAGGGATCTTACTCTGGAGAGGGAACACCCTGGAGAGGGAACACCCAGGAGAGGGGTCTGACCCAGGAGAGGGATCTGACCCTGGAGAGGGATCTGACTCTGGAGAGGGAACACCCTGGAGAGGGATCTGACTCTGGAGAGGGTCTGACTCTGGAGAGGGAACACCCTGGAGAGGGATCTGACCCAGGAGAGGGATCTGACCCAGGAGAGGGGTCTGACCCAGGAGAGGGATCTGACTCTGGAGAGGGATCTGACCCAGGAGAGGGATCTGACCCTGGAGAGGGATCTGACTGTGGAGAGGGATCTGACCCTGGAGAGGTATCTGACCCTGGTGAGGGAACACTCAGGAAATCTGACCCTAGTGAGAGGGAACACATATTTTAGTTTTCTTGTGCTTGGGGCAAGCTGTTGGTCCTGAAGATAATGACTGCCACCAAAGGGAAAACTAAATATATAAGAATTCAAATAAAACCAGAAAACAACACAACCTGGAAATGAAACCATGAAAACTCAAAAAGAAAGGTTTAACAGAACCAAAAATTAAGATACCATGACAACAGCTAAATTTATAAAATTTTACTGAGACTAAAATTCTGAGTTGCTCTTTCAGTGGCTTCATCTGGTCGAGAAACATGGTAAAACAGAAAAGGCTTGTTTTAAAGTTGTTGCTTATCATTTCATTGTTAGCTTTGCATTTCTAATTACAGGATGTTTTTTGATTTACTTAGCCGAGAATAGATTTTAATTGAAGTGTGCAAGCTTAGAAACTGTTTATTGTATTATTGCCATTTTAACTAACTATGAGAGCCTCAGAAAAATATCACTGCATTGGAAAATGTGATGTAATACAGTCCAGTGTTGTCCATTTAACAATGAGGTCATGCATTTTAAAGCAACGCTATGCAAAATGTGCTTTTAGGGGAGCTAGACTTTTGAATTACAGCTTTAGCCCCCTGAAGACCACAGGAACACTGTACTGTCACAAAATGATCAGATTCCATATTTATATAGCAGACCACTTTGGACCTGCAGATGAGAAGCTATGGAGTTGCTTATATATTTAAGGCCACATCCACTCCTCTAGATTAAATCCTGCATCTGAAAACCCAAAATATGCCTTATTGGGTATGAATAATCTATGCCTTTTTGGCAGTCAACAAATTTTAGCTTCCTCAGCTCTCGTTTTTAAGGCGAGCTCAGGTAAATCTACGCTCTTGATCACATGACTCATTCAGTGAAAGATCCTCCTGTCATTGTACAGAGGTACATTTTTGAGAAGGGCAACCCCCATGGGGCATAAATAATAACTAATCAAGTGCTGAATAAATTTACATGGTGATGCTTTATAAAAAATGCCTGAAGTAAGTTGTTTTAGAATAAAAAGACTGTGAGGACTGCTAAGATATTTTTGTTGTTGTTGCTTTTATAATTGTTGCAGTAATAATAACATATCTTGATGAAATTGAAGCTAATATTAACCATACCTAATGAGAATGAAGAAATTATATTAAAAAAAAAGAAAGCATAGGCAGCTAAAGAACATCAATTTGTAAAAAAAAAGAAAAAAAAATTATAATATTAATCTTAATCATGTTTAATTTCACTTGAAGTTACTAAAAGTGTTTTTAGCTGAGGAATGAAATCTGCCAATTTTTTCAAAATCCCTTTTTAATCTTGGAATCATTTGAATGAAAAAGCAGCTATAGTGACAAGAGGGCACACAGTGTGACGCAGTCTCACCACCACGGTTTTATTGTCTGTATGACCCAGAAAGAGAAAGTCTGATGAGCAGGCCAGATGAAGGGAGAGTGGTTTCATGTGATGGAAAAAACTATATATACTTATTTATACATATAAGATGCTTTAATTATATAATTTTTTTATAAAAATATTTTCCTTTCTTAATTATTTGATTCATATTTTTATTGTATTTGTAGTTAGTAATTAATACATAGAATTATTTAGTTGCATGGATTTAGGTTTATTTGAGTATTGGATATTTAAATCCTATATTAAATAAATACATAGCTATGAAATTGGTTTATTTTACTGTAAATTTATTTAATTAGTTGGACATTCTTATTTTTGTATTTTATTTAGTATTGGCTCTCCATTTATCTCATGGAATGCTGAAAAGCTTCCCCCGACCCAACAATGGAAATCTTTGCTCTTAAGTGTATTTTATTGTGCTTTATCTTGTCTAGACTGTTTAGTTTGTAATTGATAACAATAATACTAATGTTTTTAATTGGTGGAATTTCACTTTTTTTTTTGCAGATAAAAAGCTAATTTAATTGTTTCCAACTGCTCACAGTCTTTATGTGCAGTCTCAGTTCTTATGGTTTATATTCAGTTTATTGTTTTCCACCGACAGCATCAGCTTGCACATTGAAAACTGAAAATGGATCTTTCTGTTGTCTCTAGGTCAGTACACGGTGATGATGGCTCACTTTTACCTGAAAAGGAAGATAGGTTATTTCGTCATCCAGACCTACATGCCATGCTTCATGACTGTGATCCTGTCACAGGTTTCCTTTTGGCTGAACCGTGAGTCTGTCCCAGCAAGAACCGTCTTTGGTGAGTCTGGAAGATCCAGGTGCATCAAGCAATGAAAAGATTCGAGCATTTTAACCGAAGCAGAACCTGTAGGAATATTCTTACAGAGAGATGTTTAATCATGTGATTAGTTGCTGAATATTTCTCAGTTTTGTTTTGTTTTTCCTCCTGCATGCTGCTGCATGATCTGTTTATAATACTCTGCTACACGACCCGCTTTTTTCCATGACTTAATCTGCTGTAATAAAAACAGAATTGCAAGTCTGATGACAAAGATTGACCCAGTTTCTTCTCACTGCCAGGTGTGACCACAGTGCTCACCATGACCACTCTCAGCATCAGTGCTCGAAACTCCCTACCCAAAGTGGCGTATGCCACTGCCATGGACTGGTTCATTGCAGTGTGCTATGCCTTTGTCTTCTCAGCGCTCATTGAATTTGCCACAGTGAATTATTTCACCAAAAGGAGTTGGGCCTGGGATGGGAAAAAAGCAATGGAGGCTCAACATCCCAAGGTATGCAGCCTGTATGTCGCATTGATATGTGGAGATTCCTGAAGCTGTTGCATAGTTTATTGAGAAGTTGCTGAGCTATTGGAAATGAAGCAGCATCATCATTTATTAGACTAGCTAAGATTTATTATTGTGGATTTCAGTGTCTCTGCAAAATTGTTTAAGAAAACTAATTAAATTCAATTCAGTTTATTTCTATAGCACCAATTCATAACATGTTATCTCAAGGCACTTTACAGTTCACCAGATCATACAATCACATTTGATTGCATTGACTCATTGACCCGAAGGCAATCCTTCACACTAAGCATGCTTGTAGCGACAGTGGAGAGAAAGAAAAGAACCAGGCTTAGTGTGAGCGGCCATCTGCTGAGGCCGACTGGAGTTCAAGGAGACAGAAGCAGAGATACAAATGGCAACTGTAAAATGCGGCCCCATCCAGGAAACACACAGCCAGGCAGACGAGCTCCGAGCCAGCTCCCATGTCAGAGAATGAAGAGAGCACATCCAGCCAGTCACAGTCAGAGACACAGGACTACACTGGAAAACAGGCTGATCTTGATCATCGATAAATAAAGGTGTTGATGGAAGCAGGACAGCATATATTTCTCTCCAGGTTGGAATCACAGCCAAACAGGAACAGACAAGGCAAAGCTACTATGAGAAAAAGCAGAGAGAGCAGAATGTTAGAGATTGAACTAACAGATTCTGCAGAGTGGGAGAATAGAGATAGAATGAAGCAAATTGATGAAAAAGGGGTCCCTATGTCCTCCGGAAGTCTAAGCCTATAGCAGTAACTCAGCCCCTTTTAAGGGTTTAACTATTAGATTTCATTATACTTGGTCCTGCAAAGGTTTTTTATACCAGGTGAACCTCTCCAAAGTTGATAGCATTGCAGTCACAATCGTTCAATATCTTTGTTTTCTTTTGTAAAGAAATACAATGTTGTGCATAATCGTTATTGCAAAAAAAAAAGGAAACAACAGTTTACTGTAATTCTTTATTTTAGGTGACATCATTTTGTTTCCCTTTTATTACCTTAGATTGTGTAACCAGTATTTGTGTTATGAAATGATCAGCAGTTTTCATTTTTTAAAATCTGTTTTTGTTTCTTCCACTGCAGAAGAGAGACCCATTAGCTCTATCAAAGAAGCCCAACAACACCTGCTCAGCCGGTGTAAATTATACAACCAACCTCACCAAGGATGCATCCATCTCCACCATTTCAAACAGCACAACTATTCAGCTCAAACCGTCCGAAAGCAAGGCCCCAGACCCCAAAAAGACTTACAACAGCGTGAGCAAGATCGACAAGATGTCCAGGATTGTGTTCCCTGTGCTTTTTGGGACCTTCAACCTGGTGTACTGGGCTACGTATCTCAACAGGGAACAAATGATAAAAGAAGCCGAGTGAGTTCTAAGCTGGGGGCCGCAGACAAAACGAACTTAATGAAAAATGTTAATGCCAAGCACTTTGTCCTTGTATCATAGTTGTGTTCTTTTAAGATATTAACAAATTATTGCATGTGTGTTGCTTCTGGTAAGTGCTGCCATGTTTGCCTTGAGTTAGTCCATCTATGATTACAAACCTAAAATATTAACTTATTACTACTCACTCAGAATTTTTTTTCTATTTTAGCATTTGGCATTTTCTATACTCTCATTTAGTTTTTAGTTGGAAATGGAAGTGCTAGGCCAAATGCTATGCAAAGAAAAATTTGTACTGTATCATTGAAAATCGCCTTTTATCTTTTTAAGTCTGTAAATATTACACATGAGGTCCACGAATGTGAAATTGGACCAAATGTAACTTTGCTTTCTTGTTAAAAGCAGATAAATAGCCATGCTAATTGTGTTGCCTTCAGAGTACGATAACTCATTATGAATGCACTGAACTCTGCACTCCTGCAACACCATCTTTCTGAAGGTCATGTTCAGAAAGTTAACTTAGTGGACTCTATTTGTTCAATTTTGCTACTTTTCAATTGATGGTAGCTTGATATTTATTAAGTTTTGTTGAAATGAAAGATCAAAGAGGGAAGCATTTAAAGCTTAAGTTATGTTATTTAAAAAAAGAGGTTAAAAAAGTGTATATAAGTAAGTATGGGTGTAGTTTAAGACTCTGCTTAAAAGCACCACTATGCTGGTGAAGTTAGCTTATATTCTTGCAATGCTTCTAGATAAGCAGTGTTTTTTGCTAGTTTAGTGCTTAAATGAAAATGAGCCTGTAGTTTAAGCCTTATTAAAAAAAATGATTGTAGAATCATTTATTGTTTTCATAATATAATTTTTTTATTTTGAGCTTTTATAAAAGTTATCATTCTTGTTGATTAGCCTAGTGAAAGATTTCTGTTTAGGTGTGAAAATAAAAACGGCATCTAGGACTAGGCTTGGTTAACTGGGAGATTAAAAAAATCAATGACAAATCGATTTACGTTAACAATTTTCAAATAACTATCTATCAATAAAGATGCTACTATACTTTATTTAGCTTAGCTTAACGTTTCTTAGCCTAAAGACTGGGGAAAACAAATAGCCTGCTGTTACTTTCTAGTACTTGTTCATTTTGTTATGTTTTTTATTGAAGATTTTAGGTATCATTCTATTAATCTGTGTTAAATTTAAACATGTGTTCGTGTCTTAAAGGAAAATTCCGGTTTTTAACACTTTTTTGCCCATTTCCTGTAGTGTCCAGGATGAAATCGACAATTGGTCCTGTCTCTGCTTTTTGGCTCATGCAGAATCCCCCCCTGGCTGCTTCAGAATGGCTTCCATAGTGCATGTCCGATAATGTCCTTAAAACAACCTTAAACGTTCTTTTTTTTAAATATGCTACTCACCGGGTCGTCAGCGCTGTTCAATGACGTTCCAAAAAAAGTTTCGTGAAGAAAAACCGTTCCTGTCTTGTTTTATTTAGCATTTTGTAAATCCCAGAACTATTTTTTCCGATACATCACAACCGCTTATAAACTTCCGCTTCCCGTTCGAATCTGAAGCGTTGCACACTCCAGACCACTAGTTGGCGACGGTATCCTCTACCGTCAAACTCAAAGTCCAATATGTCCTCCTCAAGAATCCACCTTTCGTATTCCATTTTCAGAGTTTTTTAAAGTGTTTAACAGAGACGTTAGCACCTCGACGTCGGAGTACACAGAGTGAAGCGAAAAGACTACAACTAAGCGTAAACAGGCCCCATTTCCGTTTCCGGTGGCGGAGGGATATTGACTATTCCAACAGAACTCAATGGGATTTACAAAATGCTAAATAAAACACTACAGGAACGTTTTTTTCTTTACGAAACTTTTTTTGGAACGTCATTGAACAGCGCTGACGACCCGGTGAGTAGCATATTTAAAAAAAAGAACGTTTAAGGTTGTTTTAAGGACATTATCGGACATGCACTATGGAAGCCATTCTGAAGCAGCCAGGGGGGGATTCTGCATGAGCCAAATAGCAGAGACAGGACCAATTGTCAAAATTTTGGTGTCGATCATTCCATTTCATCCTGGACACTACAGAAAATGGGCTAAAAGTGTTAAAAACCGGAATTTTCCTTTAAGGGAAGGCTGTTGACAAAGCTAAAGAGAAGGTTACGTAACGTTTGTGAGGTCTGGTACTGATGCAGGTCATTGTGGCCTGGCTTGAAGGCTTGGCACATTTCAAAGGCCAGTTTAGTTCCTCCACAGCAGGCATGCCCAGAATCGGTCCTCAAGGGCCGCTGTCCTGTTGAGGTTGTCGTTCTTCAGCAAACCTGAATCTGATGATTGCAGTTCAGCAAAAGCCTGTTAATCAACCATCAGTGAAAATCAGCTGTTCTGGAGCAGGGAAAGCTCTCAAATCTGCCGGACAGCGGCCCTTAAGGACCGAGTTTGGGCATACCTGCTCTACAGAACAATCTATCATACAGTGCTTTTGGACCTTCCTTCTCGGACAGGTCGTTTGTCAAGTTGCAAACATGTTCCCACATGGTTGGCATTGTAATATTGCCAACATGTATCCCTTCGTTCCACCATTTAGAGCAGGGGTCACCAATCTTTTTAAGGCTGAGGGCTACTTCATGGCTACCGAGTAATAGGAAGGGCTACCAATACTGACCTATGAACTGGAGGGATCAGTGTTCACCTACAGTAAATTTCATCCATAAAAACTCATTTTTATTCTTATTTTATTCTTTTATTCATTTGATGAAATAGTTAACATGATGAAATAATGAATAAATGATTAAAAAGAAGAGCAACAGAATAAAAAAAATTAAACTTACCCCACTGAGTGAGTTCTTCTGTTTTCAGAAGACGAAGAGGGCACATCATGTGGTCATTGAGGGTCCCTTGGTGCCCGCAGGCACCACGTTGGTGACCCCTAAATTTAGAGTGTCTTTCACTGGAACTAAGGAGCCACTAAAAAACAACTTCACACTGTCATTTTACCCCCAGAAAACGTTACACCTTCCACAAAGACGCTTTGCAAGGATAGCTCACCTGGCAACCAGCAATCCCAGTGTTCTCATCAAACTGCTAGACAGAGAAGCATTAGTATTTTCAAGTCTCCACTGCTCTAGTGTTTATTAATGGCAAGCTTTACACCACTACAACCATCCTTTTGCTTTGCTCTTGGTGGTGTGGGCTATGGATGCAGCTAGCTAACCATGGAAATCCTTCCCATGAAACTGTCTACTTACTTCAGTCATAATGAGAACCATGGGATGTTTGGATGTCTGTAGCAATTGAAAGCTGACAACCTCTGCAGATCCAATCCAAGGCCCCCCGATCTGTGACTTTGCAGGGCATACATGTGTGGTTCAGTTGCTGTTGGTCCAATTCATTACTGTTGTTAGGAATTGCTTCCATTTAATTAATGATAAAGTGATAATGAATTATTATTATACTAAAGATAACTGCTTATATATACATCCTGTCATAGTGCATCATGGAATTTAGAGAGCTCCTGCGAGAGATTTATTCCTGCCAAAATGTTTGTGCAAGTTTACTACATGCCTAGTTATTGTTATACTTCATAGAAGTGGTTATAGAGCTGCTTATGTTGTATGATTTCAAAGGTAAATGGGATTTCTCAGTGTTTCTGGAAATGTACAATTTAAATCTAAATGCAATGAAAAAACCTAAGGGTTTGAGGTTTGGTTATTTTGTGTATTTTTAGATATTGGAAAGCATCCAAGCTTTTTTGTTTGTTTTTGAGAGTTTTTGTATTCTAAATTAAGCTCATTTATTCCATATCAGCTACAAAAATATGAGAGGCCATGATGTTTCTATTCCATCTACTTAAAAAAAGACTATGCTTATATAATGTACCTATATATGTTTTTTTTTCTTTAAGAAAGTGAAATCACTTTAATAGCATAATGGAATGTAACTGTCTTTTTACCAGAATATCAAAAGATACAAGCAACATTTTCATCTGAATTTGCTTTAACATCTGAATCATGTGTCTTAATGCCTGCTTTTGAACAGTTTTGTTAACTGTATTGTGTTATTACAATGTAGTCAAATATAAATTATGTACATGCTTTAAAAGCAAATACCTGAAGCAATAAATAATGCTCATGTGAACGACAATTTGTTCATTTCTCATATGTTAACATATAACCTGTATTTTAGCTTTTCATCTATTTGGCAGTTGACTATTTTGAAAAGTGCATTGCTTTAATTTATTTCATCTATTATTTTCAATAGTGTTGAAATGATGCAAATATCGAGGCCTGTGCATATGTAAAAAAAACATACTCTTTGTTCGATACCTGATTCTAATAAAGCTTCACTTGCACCATCTTTCTGCTTTTAGTGGTCAGTTATAATAACCTACTTAAATATGATTATGCAGTTCACATCATGTTTAAATGAAGGCTGCTAAACAATATTTCATTATTTTCTGATCATTCCATGCTATAAGAAAGTGTTATATACAATGCACACATTAAAACCAGATATATAAACTTTATAAGACCTAGTAGTCACCATAAATAAAACACACTAACAAAACAAAAACATTCTGCATTTTTGTCGCCAAAATGTGACACCTTGGTGTATAGAAGATAGATTCAACCCCAGCAAACTGAAAAGTGTTTGCAAAGCTGATACCAGGTGCAAATCTATTTGTGTTTGTTAAATGAGGTGAACAGCTGCCGCAATTTTTTTTGTACCCATTTTTTTCTTCATGTGAATGCCGTCCATATGCTTAAAGGGGTCATAGAATGATTCTATAGGGTATTTGGTGCTGGTACTTAAGGTGTCTGAAGAGGGTGTGTAACATTAGTTGGGCTGAAAATGGCATATTTGCTGTTCTATGAGCCCTAATGGAAGCCTGGTTAAAAGCCCTAGAATTAAACGACAGGTTTTCTTCCTTTTATGGTATGCTCATGAATATTTAGATGAACTGTGTGCTGATTGGTTGGTTTACAACGAGCGAAGCTGCTGAGCAAAGACGCATCATAGCAACAAGCACTCACTCACTGAAACATCAAGCATATCAAGATTGTTGATATGCTAGGGTGACCAGACGTCCTCTTTTTCCTGGACATGTCCTACTTTTCATACTGTACCTAAAAAAATGTCCGGGGGGAATTTCGATTTTGGTCGACTACAGTGAAGCACGTAGTCAAAACACACCAGGCATTCGAACTAAGCCGTCAGCTCTGGGGCTGGTCCTGGAGCCCCGGGGCAGGGAGGCAGCGGGGGACAGAGCGCTCAAACCCGACCCGGTGATGGTAGCCTGGAAAAAGGCTACCCGCTGCTTCCCCCTGCCTTCCTTACCGGTCCCAGCCCCCCGCCTCCGGCTGAGGACGGGCGGCTCATGGCTCTCTGCTGAGGTTCGGTCCAGTCAGCGGCCCAGCAGACGACACTCCCCCCATCCCCACCCCCTCCCTTGGGCCAGTGAACCATTGGGCTGGTCTGTATGTAAATTTGGTGGCGTAACAAAAATACAGGCCAGAACCAAACAAGTTTACGTCAACTATGTGCTTCGTTTGGATTCGCCCATTTTATGGTGGAAGTTTAGAATGTGAGATTTGCAGAGAAGGGAGGCATTGATTGGGTTTGAACTTCTCTGTATGTCCATTTCACCCACTGAACCATCATTATACATCTATGGCAATGTAAACTCGGTTTTGTATTCTATGACCCCTTTAAGATCAAACCGTGCTAATTTATGTTTATGAATTTAAAATGCAGTTGCACCCCTAAAGCTAAGACCTGAAAAAAAATTGCAAGTGCAGTTTTTGTACCTTTATTTAGCCCCTTTGCAAGTCAACTGCAAACTTGCATGCATTGATTTCTGAAGTTTTGACAGGGGCAGATCTAGGCGATTTTCTTGGCCAGTCTTTGGCCATCCCTAACCAGGTTATTCCGTTTTAATGTTGACATGATTCACCACCAGTGGAACAAGCAGTTCCCCTCTAAACCGCACACACCCATGTAAAAATATTCCATTTGTTTGTTTATTGTACTTTTAAAAGTTATGGTTTACAACAGATAAACACCAAACCCAATGTCTTAGAAAATTACAATATTAAGAGACATTTTTTTTAGGTATATCCAATGTCAAATAAATCACGCAATACAATATGATAGCTAACAAAATCATGATAAAGATTACTGACTTAATAAACATTTACATAATTACCGC